GGGGGGGGAAGAGTGCTCAACAACCACAGGCATCATTAGCAATTTAAGTAATTCCCTTAAAATAGGAACAGTTCTTACTGTTTTATAAATATTTGCTGGTGGCATCATCCTAACCGTCAAAGGGCAGATGTGCAAGTCTTGCTTCTCGCTTCTACCCTTCTGTTCTGTGCTGCATGGTTTGAGCACAAAGACACCAAGCGCTACCCCACTCGGTCGAGATGTAGAGATCCACTCTGCAATGTCCTGTTTATTTAACGTTTGGTACGGTTAACAAGTATGACTCACTTTCTCCCACCCACTTCCTTATTTAAACATTGTTTGAGACACTTCTTTGAATACGACAGTTTTTCTTAAAGTCAACTCACTGGATGAAAACAAAACGGTTTTGGATTGCTTTCAGGTGGGTTTAAGGTGGGTTTCACTTTAAAATTATAAGTACATTGGGTAACCACTTTCACCCTAATATTTTAATGTGAGTCCTTTTGAATTTCTACGGATGTTAACTTAAGTTAGTATGGGGTACCATTTAAAAATATATATATCCTTAGACTGATTTAAAACTTGAATTTGCTACTTAAGAGATTTTCCTACGCTGGTTGAATGCACTCTTCTTAGATTGCCACATATAATGGATAAGAGAGACTGAGTAATGGAAACGTTTTTCTTATATTTAGAGCAGCTATAATCAGCTTTCCATTTGAAGAACGTTTACAACGATGGCTACATTCAATCTTTGGGGACTATTTTATAAAAATTATGCTTATTAATATTTTCAAAGCACTATGCTGATGATTCTAGAAAACATGATACCCTTGTTCTTGGAATTACGTACAAGTTTCTGTTGTAACACAGGTAAATTACATGTGTATTTCACTAGCAGATCAGCTCTTTATTAGCTGAGATTCGGGGTAGAACCACCTTCTAGCTGGTTCATTACAAGCTCTTCCCAGTCCTCGGAAGTACTGCCCTGGCTGCTGCCTTCCCTGACAGAGTTTGAGACCTCTTGTATCCGTGACACAGCACTGGTCGGTGAGCCAGGGCCACAGCAGCTGTGGACTGTTACTGGAGTTAAAAAATCAATCTGCTGAATAATCTATAAAAAAACCAAACTCACTGACATTGAGTCAATGCTGACTCGTGGCGACACCTTGTGTACTTCCAAGGCTGTAACTGTTTACAGGAGTGGGAAGCCCAGTCTTTCCCCCAAGGAGGTGCTGGTCGTTTCGAACTGCTGACCACTCAGATTGCAGCCCATCATGTAACCACTACACCACCAGGGCACCTATAAATGTATCTATATTCATGTCTTTGAATAAAACATCTGCTGGTGTAAGGTTCTTCCTTCATAATGTAGAAACTTCTAAAAAGCAAAGATAAAAAGCAAACAAACTCACACTGCCACCAACTCCATTCTAATGAATAGTGACCCTACAGGACAAGAGAGTTTTTACCCTTGGACTTTTTGAGGCTCCCTCAACCTTATCGTTGAGGCTTCAAAGAACATTTTCTTCCTGTGTAGAAATTTTCTTCTGGCTCTTAAAATCCGAGGAGAGCGATCAACGAAACGTAAACAGGAAGAACAAGTGAAACCTCCCTTGAGCGAGAAGGAGAACCATCAGCCGCTCCCCGCGCACTCCTGCCACGGAGTCACCCACGACGCCCAGTGGCTCTCAGGCAGAGGAGAACCGCCCTGGGGGTTCCCAGGCCGTACGTGTTTGTTGGAGTAGAAAGCTCTCACTTTCTCCTGTGGAGCAGCTGGTGGGTCTGAACTGCTGTCCTTGCAGCTAGCAGCCCAATGCGCAAGCTCCCCGGAGCTTGAAAATAGCTCACATCATGTACCCGCTAAGACTCATCAGTTTCTTGGGGACAATGAAATAAAGGGGATCCCTTAGTCGTACCAATGGCTAAACGTTCTGTCACTAACCAAGAGGTGGGTCATCGGAACCCACCCAGAGGTTCCCTGGAAGGCCTAGCGATTCAATTCTGACAGACTCGTCCAAACCCACTACCATCCAATCAGTTTGGACCCTTAGCTATTCTATAGGACAGGTGGAACTGCTCCATAGGGTTTACAAGACCGTAAATCTTTATGGTCACAAGCAGTCTCATCTTTTTCCCATGGAGTGGCTAATGGGTTTGAACCACTGACCTTTTGGTTAACAACCTCATGCTTCCCCCACTGGATCCCCTGGACTCTCCTGGCAGACTAGCCACTGAAGACCCTATGGAGCACAGTTCCGCCGGAAACACATGGCCGTTGCCCATCAGAAGTGACTCAACAGCAACTTTAAAAAAATCAAGTTTCAAAACAGCCATGGTGCTTCCTGTTGCTTCTGCGCCCCGGTCTCATGCTGTACCTTTATCTCAGGGTGCGGGTCCAGCTGCTCCAGCTCCGGGGGGCACTCTCCATTCTCCCTCTCTGGGGGCTGGGCTTCTGCCCCTGCCTCTCCGTCTTGATCCCGCGGGAGCCCGGGGTCTGTGCTCGGAGACCCGCAATGCCCGACAGAGGCCTTTCCATCGCAGCTATTTGTTCCGGGCGAGGCAGGGCCGGGGGCGGTTTCGCCTCGCTCTCCATTCACCAAGTTCGTATCAAGCACGGGTTCCGAAGTTTGACCAGAAGGATCGGGGCTCTGAAGGGCCCCTTTCTCCTCCTCACATTCCATCTGGAGCTGTGTTGCCATTATACCATTGGCCACACAAGTCTGTACACCCTGAGTTGGATCTGTGTCATTTTCCTGCTTCCCAAGTGGGTGCTGGGACAGGAGTTTCTGCGGAGGTGTGGTCGTCAGTCCAAACCTTCCCGGGGTTCTAGGAGCATGGAGGCTCGCAGCAGGCTCTTTCTTCAAATCACTGTAATTGGATAATGTGCTAGAAGATCAAACACAAAGAAGTATGAAAACATCGGTGTGGAAAGGCGCAAGAACAATGATAAACTTAACTCCAGCTGAAAGAGCTGAATTTAGCAGCACTGAACAGACTAATTCTCCTGGGCTGAGGATGTCAAGTCATGGGGAAAGGGAACGGACTGCTCAGTTCTGTGGGAAATTGTTCTTTCTTGACTTCAAAAAGCAAGCAAACAAAACCCCGAAGGAGCCACAGTAAAAAAGGTAAATTCTATTTATTCTGTAAGCATCTACCCAAACACATCTTTAGAAGGCAGTGTTATTTGGGTAACTGCTCAGAGCAAAGTAAGATCCTCTGTAACCATTGAGCAACAGCTCCCATTCGGAAAGGCCCTGGTGAAGCTCCTCTCTCCAGGCTAGTTTAAGCTGCGCAGAGCCAGGTACAAGCCAAGGGCTACGACGCTGCAGGCACGTGGACATTACTCAACAGGAAGTACAAGGCAATATTAGCACAGTCTGATGCTTTCAAGAGCTAGTTCCTATTGGTAACATCTCACTAAACGCCTATTTATGTATTAGCACTGGACTCCGCCAGAATATTCCTTCACTGGGCTTTGCAAAAGGCATGCGTTTCTCTCACTCTGCACTTGCTAACTTCATAGGTAAATTACAGCATAGGCAGAGTACTCCACCCGTTTTTCCATCTGTTCCCCTTAAAAAATGACTTCAGATCTGTGACCCTTAAAGGAATATTACATTAATTAACAGGCGACACTAATAAGTGAAAGCAGACTTACCAAAAGGGTTAAGGATAAATGCAAAACAGAATTTAAAATTTTCACAGATTTCAGATTTTGTGAAGGCATGGAAGTTGAATGAACTCCTGAAGCTATAAATTTGAAACTAGTTGACCTAGTAAAGGACGTCTGCTTTGAAGCACTGTGATCTTTTAAGATCTAACTATGGGATCTATTTTGACAAGGCAATTCAAGACTAGATAGGAACTTTAAGGGGCAGTGAGTGTAGCTTAATAATGGCTGTACAATGCAAAGAATATAATGAACACTAAGGAATTATGCATGTAGAAATTATTGCACTGGTGTATGTTCTGTCAACATACATTCTCAACAAGAGCAACTATACAATGATTTATAAAAATAAGCAGGACCAGAGTAATGTATATATACTTGTTATAGAGAGCGGGTAACCAAACGGTGAGCATCAGAGTACTCATCCTTTAGAATCTGGGGATAGAGACGCTAGCATATCTATGAACCGGGGCTGGAGGTACAGACACTAATTCTAGTAATCTAGTAAATATCTCTTTCCGAGAGCAAAAAAACCCAAACAAACCAAACTCACTGCCATCGAGTGGATGCAGATCACAGTGACCTAATAGGGTAGGCTAGAACTGGCCCTCTGAGTTTCCAAGACTGGAACTCTATAGGGAAGGTGCTGACGTTTAAATGTGTATGGTCAAAGTTCTCACAGTCAATCGGAAATGAAGACTGCTTCTGAAGTACTTTTTCCTAGAACTTGTTATTAAATATAATCGCATTATATTAAGAATACTGTTGCCTTTATGTCTGGTCATAATTTCCAAAGGTCAGAAAAATGAACAAAAAACCAAAACAATAACAAATCTACAAGTGTTCCCTAGAATTATATGATCTGTTTAATAAATAATAATAAAATTCTGAAAATAAAAGATAAAAATCACGCAATGAGGAGCCATTCTCAATTATTACATTGGAAAGAAGTATGCTTCCATGATAGATTTTGTGTAAGTGAAGAAACAACATATGTGGTTATTTCCAAAAGTGAGAAATAGATATATTTTACCTACTTTAAATAAATTAGGGCGAAAGAATATGAGAATACACGTACTATAAGTAGTTTGCTACTGGTACTAATTAAACCTTCTAGAAGATAGGGGTCTGAAGAGAGGGAAAGTAGTTTCAGAAGGGCTATCGAAAACCCAGTTAGTGAGTTAGAAAGAAGAGAGGGTTAGAGCCAGGAGAAGCCAACAAGAGCCGCATGCATTAGTACGTAGTAGAGTGCTTCAACAACAAGGAAGAAAGCTTCCCTACACCTCCCATTGGGAGAGTCAGACAGCAAACAGCAACATGGAGTCTTACACAAGGAGTGACATACAGAGATGGGGGGAGGGGGAGGCGGGGCACATGGAGAACACAGATGCAGAAAATAACACAATTTGGTGTTTTTTTTTAAGCTGATGATATAGAGTACTGCACCATAGTAAAATGTAGTAGTTAGTGATCATTCATATGCATATTAAGATTGAGGGTTGTTTTTTTGTGTGTGTGTGAAACCACTCTTTCTGAAAGGCCTACTAAATCTTGTTAAGATATGGTACTCTTTATTCAAAAAAAAAATCTATGTTAATGATTTCTTTTAAATTAGCATTTTTTCCCCTACCCTCTGACCTCTCCCATTGTAAATGATCTCTTACCTGCCTCCTTCAAAGCGACTGATGAGATCTGATACCTTACTGGGTTTTTCTTTTGAGACACAAGAAGCAGAGGCAGGTTTAACTTCCTCCATCCTTGGTTTTGCACTAGATAAAGCTTTATGCCTGGGGGTTTGGTGTCTAGTGGACGAAGGTGAATTCTGCAGATGTAATGGCTTTGGAGGCACTGTAGAAAAAGAATAGAGTTCAGTATTTCACTGATGTTTTTGTTCTTTAAACAATAAAGACTAGGTGTAAAAACCTTTAGCTTACTCAAATTTTTGCAGAGGAAGGGGGAGGTCTCGTGAATTTGTATGGACCTTGACCAAGGGATGTCATGGAGAAAACATCATCTTGGACATTTGTTTTTTTCCATGAAGCTTGCATCTCCAAGATGTATGTGATTTTAAACATTTTAGCACATTTCAAATATGGCATTAATGAACACCTTGGAGTATGCTGACAGCTACTGCATCCCCAACTCTGTATTATTAGAGGTATTAAAGCAGTTATTCCCCTCAACAGAGGAAAAAGAAGTTGCTAAAGTTGAAATTAAATCTAGTGATCTATTGCTTGCCAAAAAAACCCTGACATTTTAATACGAGAGTGATAATGGATACACCACATTTCAAAGCAACCAAGTTAAACATAAAAGCCAGCAAGGCACAGTAACAAACAAAAGTCATAAAATGTGCACTTAGCAACAGCTTTCCATTGAGCACAACACCCACTGTAACCACTGTGATGGTAGATACAATTCCAAATCCCCAGAGCCAAGGACTCTTGCTTGCATTTTTATCTTAGGCAAGTGATTGGCCTGTGGCGAAAATAAATAAACAAAAACCTATTCTGGTCTCATGACTCCTTTCATTACCTACCCTGATCCTTATCATACAGCAAAGGAAGACTGTTATTTGCTATGGTACATACCTACTTGGCTTTCATCAATAACATCATAAATCAATTGTTTATTAAAAAGTCTTTCAATTGATAAGCTAGGAACAGATTATTGTATTGCACGTTTGGTTCATTACTATGTAATAAAAACAAGATAAAATACGTGCCATACGTGCTTAATACAATAACATTCTGGGTAAAATTTATTTTTTACTGTACTCCTACCTTCTTGGAAAATGGCTAGAGAATCAGTCCTTTAATTATATGCCCCATTTTACCCAGCTGGTGACCCTGGTTTATGAACTCAGCCTGCTGACAGTTGCCTCATGCTCACTGGCCTAGATTTCGGCAGTTCTGTGCAGTTACCAATTTATTACAGAGGAGAAAAAATCACAATGAGCTAACTAGTGGAGCAATGAATTAACATTATTTGTGTGGAAAAGGAATTAATCACCATGAAAAATAATATGGCCCCTTTTAATAGAAATGATAATAAGTTCGTAGATGCTCAGGGGAAATGATTAACATAGCATTGACTGGGAAGGAAGAAGTGTGTTACTTGTTAATTTTTAGGGAAAATTTCATCTCGAGAACAGTATGCAACAGTAGTAAAGAAAAGTCTTTTCCAATATTTTTTAAAAAACCATTAGGATGAATTTCAACATTTAACGGGATAATAATATCCCGTCAAATCCCAATACATGTGGTTCTAATTAGCATATTAAAAGAAGGAAATCCTGATTTTTTTTATAATTCTGTGTGCTAAGATTGTAATAATTTTACTTAGAATTTACTTGTTGAATATTTATACATGCTAGCCACTGTGCTAGACGCTCAAAACATTTAAATAAATGGTGCCCTAACTTAACATTTCTTAGGGGACTCACTGAGCTGCCCAGATGATGTTCCCCTTCTCTCTCACACGGTTTCACAGCTCTGTACTTTTTCCTCAAGGTACTTAAGCTAATGCATTCCATAATAACTAATTAGTTATAAATATTAGTAAGTAATAACAACTTAGTAATAAAATAATTTACATAATGTAAATGTTAAGATTTCTCCCCTACAAGGCTAGAAGATAAGAAAACATGTTTGATTTAATCACAAGTACATTTACAATGACTACCTATGGTGTTTGGCAAATAAGGGCAGTTGACTCAGATTTGTTGAACACAGAAAGGAATTAAGTCATACTGGGGAGACAGCTTCATGATGGTGACAAAGATGGGTCCTAAGTACAGGCCTATTTTAGAAACAACAGTAGCTATGGGAGATAATTCCATACCCGGGAATTACCCAAATGTACAAAATATAATCCAAATTTGTTGTTTCCACTCAAAACTCTGCAGCCAAGAACAATAGCAACCAAGAAATTGATATCTCAAGTTATTGAAACAATTTATTTTCATGGCCACATTGTGGTTTTGGGGAACTGCACAAACTGCCTTGACCCTTAACATTTCTGAGAACTCATCTACCTTCTCTGTCCCCTAAATGTTCTCTAGGAATTTTACTACATTTCCCTCCTTGTGAATTTCAGCTGTGCCATTACATACAGGGAGAATCCACAAGGATCAAATTGACTACATCTACGGGAAGAAATATTGGAAACGCTCAGCATGATCAGGCAAAACAAGGCCAACGGTTAGTTATGGAACAGATGACATCAAATGCTTATATACACACTCAAATTGACGCTGACAAATTAAAACATGACCTTGGGTATATCCCATCTGAACTTAGAGACCATGTCAAGAATACATATGGCACATTGAACATTAATGACTGGAGACCAGAAGAGCTGTCGGGTGACATCATGAACTTACACACGAAGAAAGCCATATGTCATTCAAAAGACAGGAAAAAGAGGAAAGAAAATACTAAAATAGATGTGATTGTTTGTAAATATAGAGAAATTAACTGGAAGAAATGATGAAGTAAAAAACTAGAACCGGAAAGTTCAAAGGGGCTACTTGAGACAACAATGTATTGTACTAAAACATGCAAAAACCTAGAGTTAGAAAACCAAAGGGTTAACATTTCTCAAGTGGGAAGAAATGAAGAAAAATTGTAAGCATCAAAGTATAATCCTGGAGAATTCTAGGAGTAAATTATTGAATGATGCCGAAAGCATCGAAAGAAGATGGGTAGAAAACAGTCACTGCACTATTTGAAGAGGCAGCAAAAGAAGAAGAACAAAGAGTAGTGAAGACAGAAGTTCAAGCCGGACTGAAAGAAAGCCCTGGCAAAAAAGCAAGGCTTCAGGAATTGACAGAGTATCAACTGAACTGAAATTTTAAAAAAAGAATGTCACTTGAACGGTTTCAACAAACGGATGCGGTGTTGTAGATGCTCACTTGGCTATGCAAAAAAACTTGGAAGGCTATCTAGCCAACTGGTAGAAATTGTAACCAAAGCAGGTGGAGACCCATTTCCTATACATGCCTCTCCAACACAAAGGCAGAAAAGACACATTATTAGTGGAAGAGACCAGAAATACAGTGAAGGCTGGGTGGACAAAGACTAGACTCTTAGATTTGGGGTCTGAGACAAGGGCACAGCAGGAAGTCTGCAGTGCTGGGACGCACATACCTGAGCAGAGGAGGTTTACTACAGAGGACTAGTCCATAGCAGAAGACCTGCCACAAGGCCAGTCTATGGTAGGAAGTCTGCCAATAACAGAATCTAAGGTTCAGCTTTACATGCTGCCAGGCCCGTTAGACTAGCTAAGGGCCCTTTGGACTTCCTTTCTAAAGTAGCCCATTCAATAAACTCACTCTTTCTGTTCAAACCTTTTCTCTGACTTCTCATCTGAATTTTGTCCCATACCTGAAATCCTTCTTGGGAGTGGGACAAGAACCAAGGAGTACAAAGGTTTGAAATTGAGCCTCTCCAATAACAATATTATTAATATCCTACACAAACAATATTTTGCTTACGGTCACTTTAAAAACCGTTGCAGTAGTATATCAGCAGGGAGCTAACAGAAATTCAAACTGGACCCAGAAGAGGATACGGAACAAGGAATCGCATTGCTGATGTCAGATGGATCTTGGCTGGGCAATGAATTACAAGGCTGTGAATTTGGTGTTGGTGAAGAATACTGAGTATGCCATGAAGTGCTTAGAAATGCACAAATCTGGCTTAGAAGAAGTACCACCAAGATATTGCTTAGAAGAGG